TACTACTATATGAGAATTATTAAAATGAAAGGCTAAAACAGTTTTGGAAGATTGAAGGTAAAAAAAAGACAAGAATACCCTTCTTAAGAACAATACAGGAGCTTCAAACACAGAGCAAAACCGAAGCTTTAAGCTGGTTTAAAGAAAAAGCAATAAAGAGAAAGACTTTGTTTCAAAGAGAAGAAGATGCGAGTCTCTTTCAACAAATCGTGTGCTTAAAAATTTCATAAATGTTCGAACCAAACTCCACTAACACACTTCCACACAAGTTTGGTGATAAATCCACAACTTTGTCTTTACTGTAAGAAAAGAAAAACGAAAAAAAAAGCTTTGTATAAACATGCAAGAGAATCAAACATGAAAACCAAAGATTTACCTGGAAACAAAGATCTATCCTTTAGGTTCTTGGTTTCACTGTCCGAAACTAAAGAAACTGTCTAAACGAATTTGTGTTGTGTTGCAGAGAAACTTTGAATTTCGAAATTGAAATAAAAAACCTTTCTCTTTCTCGAAGTTCTCGTTCTCGTTCACACAGTGTCAGAGTCGTTAAGTCAGCTTTAGATTTGTTCTGTAATAATAAGAACCATAACGCACGATTTTGTATCGAATCACGAGGAACTTTTCAAATTTAGCTGAATCTAACGGCTCTAGTTTCATCTTTGTGGAAAATCATAATCGAACGGTTGGGATACGATTCAAAATTTTGAAATGTCTCGTTTGATTAGTAGCTGACGTGGACGTTTGCCTGGTCTTCTCGAGAGCGTCACGTGTGGGGAAGTAAGGAAAGCTAATGAAACTACCCTTGTGGGTTCGTTAAAATAACGAAAATGCCATTGGCTTAGAGCATCGACTTTTGAGGCCCCAGAAAGGAGAAAAGTGTGGAGGGGACCGAGGCGCGCGTGAGTCTTGTGGGCCTAATTAACGTGCACGAAACGGCACGCACTTTTGTCTGCTATGTTGTTGAGAGAGCGTCGGTTTTTGTGATTTAATTAATTTTTTTATCATTATGTTCACTAATCATCTGTTAAATCATTTTTGAGGTAAGGAGTAACACGATCGAAATCATTATTATCCTTCATAATCCCACTACAATCACTATGATTTTCACATTTCATGTTGATAAATTTAGTAGTATCAGAAGACATATTTCAAAATTTTGAGAATGTTTTTCTTAGTCATTGATGACTCGAAACGCACCGTTTAGTTGTTGTAATTCGGAGTTTGTTTTTTCATGTTATAATGGGCCTATATTAAAAGCCCAATCTGAAACAAGGATTTCTTTTCTTCACCAATCTATATAAATTGAGTCTACTTTACTTTTTATCGTTTCTCTCTGGGGTTTCCGATTTGCGAATCGATCTGAATTTGAATCGTGAAGTTTGCCTCAGTGCTAATTGAAGAAGATCTAGATCTATCAGGTTTGCTTCTACTTCGGCTACGCATCTCTCCGATTTAAGATGTCTTCGTGCTTTCAATTAGGGTTTCTGCTTCTTCTTGATCTTCGTCATCCTCCTATTCGCGTCGATGCACTGGAATCACCAGTATTGATGATGGATTCAAGTTTATCTGCTATGTACATTCGTTGGAGCTAGGGCTCTCTTCTTTGGATTTTTGTTTGTTTGTTGCTTTTGTTGTATCTTAAGGTTCTGAAATCACCAAAGCATGTGGCTTTTCAGTTGTGATTCGTCTCTGTAATTAGTAACATTAGGTTCTTTATGGGAAGATTGGAATCAGATTTATATGGTTTTTGTGTGGAGTTTTGGTGGGGGGGATTTTGTTCATGTTGGTATTCTTGGCGATTTCGAAGTTCATACACACCTGGAAATTGCCATATGGATCATCGTGGATGAAGCAACAATGCTCGATTCGAGTCTGCTAAAATTAGTATGTTCTCTCCATGTATAGCAAGGAGATACTCGCAAGGGAGGAGGAATTTTGGAGTGGACAGAGATCAGGATTTCGCTGCAGATATAGTTCCGAGAAGACCCGGTGTTCCTTTTGACAATAGAGTGAAGAAAGGTCCATACAAGGGATCGAGGAATTTGGTCTGGACGTCAAAAGAGTTCCAAGCATCAGAAGGCAACAGGCCAAGGAAGAATGACGCCTATGTGTCGATGAACTCGCCAGTTTCGGGGAACCAGCCAACAAGGAGGAAGAATGTTGTGTATGGGTCAAGGAGCTTGTCTATTTCAAGCAATAGAGTTTGGAGGAGGTCGGGGGATAGTGGCAGTCCTAAGTCTAGGGAACGTGTATGCAAATATTGGATATCTGGAAATTGCAAAAAGGGTGAGGAATGCCAGTTCTTACACTCTTGGTGTTGTTTCCCTGGGTTGGTGATGGTAGCTGCTCTTGAAGGACACAGGAAGGTACTTTTCATGCTTCTTTTATCCTCTACGATTTTTTTTAGCATGGAGTTTCTTCTTAACTGTTGGCTAAATGTAAAGCACATGTAATTCTTTTCGACCATAGGATATAAAGGGGATCGCCCTCCCTGAGGGTTCAGATAAACTCTATTCAGTCAGTAGCGATGGTGCTTTGAGAATCTGGGACTGCCATACTGGTCAGTGTGTACATGAGATCAACCTCCAAGCAGAAGCAGGGTCTTTAACTAGTGAAGGGTCATGGGTTTTCCTTGGCTTGCCAAATGCTCTAAAGGTTAGTCTAAGCCGCCTCTGAACTCAGGACATTTTTCTGTTGTCTGAATACCATTCTTCTGATTTCAGTGGGTTTCATCTTGGTTATGGTCTCAACTCTCAAGCTTTTGCTGTACCATCTTGCAGGCGTTTAATGTCCAGACCTGCAAAGATTTGCATCTCAGTGGTCCGGTAGGTCAGGTGAATTCAATAGTTGCTGGAAACGGGATGCTTTTTGCTGGGACAAGTGTAAGTAACTTGCTTTCTCTCGACCTGTGTTAGTACTCTGCTATGTTGTTATTGATCTCGGATCTAAAGTATCTTTCTTTTGGTCTTGATGGATTGCAGTCTGGTAGCATATCAGTTTGGAAAGCTACTGACACCGAGACTGATCCTTTTAAACATCTCACAACTCTCGAGGGACATAGTGGTGAAGTAAAGTGTTTGATTGTTGGAGGTCAGACACTATACTCCGGTTCTGTGGATAGAACAATAAAGGTAGGTGGCTGTTTCAGTTACATTCTTTAACCGATAAAAGTTGGCATGCTATATAATTATGCATCCCAATCAACAATTGTACACCTTAATTTCCAGGTGTGGGATCTTAAGACACTGCAATGTATAACGACACTGACGGAGCATAACGACACAGTCACGTCGCTTTTATGTTGGGAGCAATATCTGTTATCGTCTTCACTGGATGGGACCATAAAAGTCTGGGGCTCTTTGGAAAGTGGCAACCTGAAAGTTATCCATACTCGCAGAGAAGAACATGTAAGTTGCACGTGTAATACTTTTGCCATTCTCCATAACAACAAGAAGAACAAAGACTTCTAAGAAATAGCCATTCTGATTGCTTTTCTGGTTTTTGAAACAGAGTGTGTATGCTCTTTGTGGATTACACGACGCAGAGGCCAAGCCGATTATATTCTGCTCTTATTTAAACGGAACAGTCGGCATATACGATCTACCATCGTAAGTGAAGCTCAATCTAAGAGTCGCTCTCTCTATCGCACTCTATTCTAACATTAAATTCTCTAATCCAATCCGAAAACCATCTCTTGTATACACAGTTATGAAGAAAGAGGGAAGATGTTCTCCACGCATACGATCGGGACACTTACAATTGGTCCTCAAGGGTTGTTATTCAGTGGAGACAAGAGTGGGAAGTTGCGTGTATGGAACTTTGGAGGCAGCAAAGTGTAGACCAACTCTTATTTTGGTTGACAAAACAAATATTTGATATGATTATGTACATTACGAATTATTAATAAGAAAAGTTCTTTTCCTTGCAGCAAATTCCAAAATCCTTTCCTTCAAAAGAAGTTTGTCTTGCAATATCATCAAAAATTACAAAATTCATATGCGACTTTATTTATAGATCAATAGGTTTTTAACAAAATGAGTTAATAGAAGTTTTGTTTTGCTTTTGCCTCTTAAAGAATTCTATATATTATATAAAGAACAGAGAAATTCATAGTTGAAGAGGAACGAACTTTGATTTAAATTAAACTCCAAATACAATCCATATTTTAGAAACCAAAGAAGGTTTAATAGCTCAAAAACCATCCAAAATTCATATTAATAAACGAAAAGAGGAAGAAACTAGAGGAAAACGATGTGTGGCTTGAGTGAGTGGA